CCAGAACATGGTGAGAGCAGCAGTTCAGCTCAGTAGTTGTAGTGGTACTCACCAATTCTGTACTTAAACTCATTCTCCCTAACCTCATTTTTCAGGAAATTATACCCAGATCAAATGGACTCTTTAAAATAAAGTCATTTTAAAATTGATTTGATGGTTTCCTACTTACAGTGGTAGGCTTGGTAAAATAGCAGAACAGGAGAACTGATTAAATTTACTGATGGTTTACAGTCCAATTCCATACTATTTATGTACCAAGGTAAGTTCTCTGTCTTTAGTGGACAGATTCTGAATGCATGAGTAACCATGTTAATATGTATATATTTAAGTCTTCTTGTTGAACATACAGCTGTCTATCAGAATGCTAATCTGATGATTTTCAGTTTCCAATATAAAACATCATTGTTCAGTTACATTTAAAATAAAAATGGAGTTCTAAGTGTATCTTAGAGTTGCTCCTTTTATTTTCATGCTGTGCATGAGAGGACTTGCTTAAGATGATGGTAACTTTAAACCATTTTGACTTTTGTATCTTCTAATATTTTTGTGTAGCTTCTGTTTTTAAGCATAGAACAAGAAATACAGAAAATGTTAAGTATACACATGACAGTTAGTTACATAAAATGAAGGCAGCTAGTAGCACTACTGCAATATTCACAATTAGAGATAAAATCAATATATTTAATAATTTAACTCCTAAACACCATTGCAGAACAGGAAGTTCAGTCTTTATTTTCTAAATGATACCAAGACCTGCTGCTGCTGCAACAATGGAGAGGAGGGAAGCAAAAAGCATTCTCTGTGTATTTCTGCAGTTTACAAGGCAGTTTAACATCAATTCAAAATGTAAGATGAACCATGGTGCAACTTTCAAAAGTGTTTACTATACCTCATCATGCATGTCTGAAGTTGTTTCACAAATAATGTAAGCAAATATGCATTTACCATAATATTTAGCATATTTTCTCTCTTTAATTGTCCTGTGACAAAATCAGAGACTTTTTTTTTTGTCCAAATCATTCTCTTATTCTGTCTTTTAAGCTTGCTAGCTGTCATGGGCAAGCATTTTGTTTCATCAATTACATCTTGATGTAGAATACACTCTTTTAAAAGTTTCCTGTTGCCGTATAATCTATAAAAATAATGGTGTAAACATTAAGGCAGAGGAACTCATGGCATTTTAAGATCAGTGTCAGAGATTCTATCCCAGGTTAAGTGATAGTAATTAAAAAGACAGGAGACCTGGAGACAAGTTTGCACAAGAGCCAGCAATGGAGCTGAACCAACACAGCAGCTACTGGGAATCACTGGGCAAGGACATCTAACTGAATGGTGCTATGTAAACCACCAAAGAGCATTGGTTTTGACACACAAATGTTACCATTTAATATACATAATAATCCTCAACATGAAAAATCTGCTGCTGCAGCAAAGACTGAGGTACTTTTCAGTGGCACAACTGCATGGGAGGAATAATTGTGTAAGGCTAATAAAAGTGATGTAATCAATTTGCAATCATGCTTTCCTGTAAACTCACTTTTAATGTTACATTTCGTAAATACAGGCATTATATCCAAAAAGCATGTGACTCCTTCTGTAGACATGACTGACAAGCCCTATGTGCAATGTGCTTCCAAAACAAACATGACTCAATACCTTTGGGTCGGTAACTCATACAAACGATTAAGATGTTTTCTGGTAATGTTCCTAAAATGTATCTTAGACAAAGTATCGATTCATATGTTGGAGAAACACAATCAAAATTGGGTTTATAAAAATCTGAAAATCTGTACGCTGCATGATAATTGTGCTTTCTTGTAGGATACACAGTTACCCAAACTAGTTGATTATATTGCTATATTTAAGCATATTTGTTATATTAAATAAAAAAAACCAAAACGTTCTTGAAATCTACAGTTTCACCAGACCAGCACATCTTTCAGCACGACCACTGTGGTAGCTACTTGTGACATAAAGCACGCGAAAGAAAAACATGTGAAAATGTGATTTGTGGAACTTACAAAACCCCCTTTTTGTTTAATTTCATAATGATGGAATCACAGATGTAGGTAAGTTCACAGCTGGCACAATTTGAAGTGTATTTTCATGTAGGCCAAGCACAAGGTTCTCAGCAGAAGTTACCAGTAATATAACGGTGAGTCCCCAGATCCTAAGGTGATCCCTGCAAGTAGTGACAAACCTCTCAGATCCTCTTACCTATAGTTTGCTAATTAACCAAGGAAATAATTCACTATTTCTCTATCTGTTTGACAATGCCAGTTTACTTAAAACAGAAATCATTTTGTGCTGAGCTATGGCATGAAATATGTGGCTTATGAAAAGCTGAAAATAGGCTGTAAAAGGTTGTTAAAAAATATCAAAGGGGTTAATTAGGAAAGTGAACAGTCAGAGGAGTAAGAAGTGCTACCCCCAAACCTATGCTGAAAGTGATGCATATTTAAGGTATTAACCTATCAGACTGCCAGATAAACATTACTTGTTTGGAGTTAAAAAATTAAAATAAAATAAAAATTCCACAGTAATTGGATACTTGGTACATAATGTATTCAGAAAAAGTATATAAAATTAATGGATAACCTACTCCCTGATTGGCTGAGCCACTTAAAGATCGGACAAATTATAGAATATAGTGTTAATGGTTTGTTGACTGGCTATATTCTGAATAGCTCAGCAGACTAGAATTATTGAGTGTCTCATTGTGCCACAGGTTTCCTTAACCAAAAAAAGTAGATTACTCAGCAATTAAGTAAGGACTTTATAAGGACTTCTGGAGATTAAGATTAAATAAGGTACTGAAGAAAACAGTGCCCAATGATCAATGTTTCTAACTCAAAAAATGCCAAGCCCCCATTTCATTTCTCTTTGAACTGGCTTGCTCCAGAGCTAGTCAGCAACAATGAAAGTGATTGCTAGAAGATCAACGAGCTGTTTCTTGTCCGATTCCTGAGGTTACACATTTTCTGAGACTCATTTTTTTCTTTTCCTTATGGGATTGATCTGCACTGCTGAAGTCAGTGAATGTGTACGCCGAATTTGACATAATGTTGAGAAATTACTCCTTTCTCCACTGAAATCACTTGTGAGAAGAATTGCAAAAACTGTTTATCACATAGTATCAAAACCCAGTTTGAGTAAGAAATCATGGACTGTCTCATAATACTGGAAGTTGTCCGCAGGCTTAAGTCTGGTGTGAGCTTCAGAAAACAGTTTTAGAGGCTGAAGGGTTTGGGAAAGTTTTTAAAATATAAATTATTTTATATGCATTTAAATTATATATGAGTATAATGTTTTATAATGTTTTATATCTGCATCCACATACACACATGCATGCACAGAGCAGTCCTCTCCGTGCTGGAAAACCCAGACTGTTATCTCTAGCAGACCTTGAAAGAGTTGTCAAATGTGATCATGCCAGGCAGTAATTTCTCCATAGCTGCAGTGCAGTTTGTTAGCTACATTAAGCACTATGGTTCATACTCCCTCTCCTAGGGATAAGCCCACCAGAAAAGGAAAAGAAACTATGTAACTGCCACAGGGTGAAAACAAGTGTTACAAGAGCATCATTCAGAATGAGGAAGGGTTTGTGTCTGCGCTCTGGTGTGTGCACAATGGCTTTTAATTGTCTGGAGAGATCTGCTGAAAACTGCAGAAATGTTCTCCTCATCTGATAGCTCGTGAAAATAAGCAACCTAACTGGCAGTAGTGGACACTTTGTAGCTATGCTACTGTTATAGTTATTGAAATATTATTGAGAAGCATCATTTCACGGGGAGGGGGGAAAGACAACCATTTTTTTCCAACCCTTTTTTCACCACTTCAGCTACTGAAATCTTTCTAAAAGAAGTTATCCAAGCCATATTGCCTCTAAAGGCTATACAGACGCGATATACGCACTGCCTCTGAACCTCTTCTGGGGCTTAGTTTTGGAGCATAAGATGCTACCTCATGATCAAGGGGCTGATGTCATCAGCCAGGGATGGGTCTGTGGAGCTGCACAGTGGTGTCACATGATGCAGAAATAGAGGCTGTACTACCCACTGCGACTCGGGGTAGGAGGTTAGGACAAACTCACATTAATAGGCCTTTTCCCTGCCCAACCATGTTCCCCAAAACTGGGGCTCTGAGGCTACATCTTCATTTCACATTTAACTCTTAGTTCCACCTAGCTCAACTGAGAGAAGGCCATAATGCAAAATTCTATTTGAACTGAACACAACAGAACCAGCAGCTGTTAATTGTGCTCATTCAAGCTCTAGTCCCTCCCTCCGTGACAGATCAAAAATGAAAATCGGTCATCAGTCAGAGGTTTGTGCATGTAGGTGTACATACAGAGCTCAGGTATGGCATAACGTCAGGTACAAAGCAAGCAACTGAAGGCAAGCTTGGAAAAAAAAAAAAAGGACACCTGTAAGACGGTGTGATCAGAAAGTGTCAGCACGTACAAGGCAGAAAGTTAACTGATTTTAGACACAACTTAAACTGAATCTCTGTTCAGCTTTGCTTCTTAGTTACACACCCGACCGCAGAAGGCACGGGAACTGTACTACCGGTTTAACTGTATACACGGAAGGGGCACAACCTCCACGCTACAGGGGGATGAAAGGAGAGGCCTGAAACTCGGCGTTCCAACGCCTGGAAATAAACCGCCGGCCCGGGGGCTACCGGAGCCCCATGGCTCAGCAGCAGGCACCCGGCGGTCAGCCCAGCCCTTCGCTCCCTACCCGGCGGCAGGCGGGACTAGCGAGGAGGAGGAGGAAGCCAGGGGATCGGTGGGAAGCCAGGCGAGAGACAACAGGGGGCCGCTGAGGGGACAGAGAAAGCCCGACGGACCCCACCGGCGGGGCAGACGGCGCCCGGGGGCAGATAACGGACGCCCCGCCCCGCTGGCGAGCACGCCCCAACCGCCTACCGCGAGCATGCGCAGAGGGGAGGGAAGGCCGTGGCCGCGCATGCGCGCTGGTCGCCCCGCGCCCCATTACCTGCGAGCCGCCTGGTAGCGCCGCTTTTTTTTTCTTGGCGGAGCCGCCGCCCGTCCCCGGGCTCGCCGGGCGCTTCTTGCTTCGGGACGGGGCGCCGGCGGGGGGAGAAGGCGCCGCCGGGGGCAGGCTCACCATTTC